ACCCATGCATTCCACATTCAACCGTTTTACTTGCTGTATTTTCTTCAATATGTCTTTCTAAATTCCCGTCTCTAGCCCGRTTATGGATAGTTAGCCTTTTATGTCTAAAAAGGGTTGCTAAGAAGTAGTGTTGTTGCTTTCCATTCATTGCTCAACATGTTTTCCCAAAAAGTTAGGATTTAGAGAAGGCCACTGTAAGTCTTAACAAGTCAATACTGAAAAGGTTGCTTATTTGCATTGTTGAGTGGTTAAACCGAGGAGAGGAGCGCCTTAGACATAAGGGTTCCRCTTAAGTAGCCTAGACATAGGACCTTAACCCGAGGTTGCGACTATTTCCATCCTAAAACTAAGATAATCTCATAATAGACATATTAGGGAATGTCTTAGGACTTTGAACTTGCTTAGACATAAGTCAAGTGAGAAGCGTAGTCGTTGGTTTCTAAAGTAAAATGCATATTGTCCTTAGCATGTCCTTGATTCTTTGTTGGCTAACTTGAAGTAGTTCGGGCTAGGTTTTATCATTCTAAGTCCAAATCCCAAATCCAAACCATTATTTGTGACCACTTCCCAATTTACAAGAATCACTCATTCCAACATTCACTATTCTTTAAAACTTTAGAGTTTGTAAATTGTTTAGAAGTCCTTGAGGATCGATACTTGGATACTCCATCCATTTTATATTACTCTGACAGGTGTGCGCTTGCATCTATCATCTTCATCCGTTCGAAGCCTGATTTACGCTACCCACCCCTTTGCAAGCTAGATCTAATTTACCCACACCTACACGAAGTCGTTTTGCGGTAATGAGACCCTTTGAACCCTCTTAGAGTTGTTTTCGAAGGCTGAACAGTATATTTATATTGCTATATTTTTCCGTTTTTTGTGCTTAGGTGTGAGTTCGACGCAAACTTAAGGACGTGGTTGTGTAAGTAGCACCAGGGGGCGAGTGCGTGCGTTATTTAGCATTAACGGAATGATTTTGATGCTGATTTTTAGTTAAAATAATTTAATTGTGCATGTAGGGATTGTTAGTTTTGATTTGTGAACTTCTAGTGATTTTGTTGTCGTCTTTCTATTATTGAACACTTATGAGGAAACATGCTTTCTATCCTTATTGTTGGAGGTGATTAGTAGATTCTGAATTGTTGTGGTTAAAAGTAACTGGCTCATGACGTTTTGCAAACATGTTGTAAATGAAATGCTCGCGTTGCTAAACTGATAATTAGTTTATATTGTTTTAGTTGTGAGCTGTTGGATGGTGACTTGTTTATTACAAAGTAGAGCATGCTTGTGAACTGTGCAGTGAATTGGAATGTTTGAGATATACTTGTAGGTGGTCTTGGGAGGGCTAGTGGGAGTGGTGAAGGGCGAAGGGTGAAGGGACGGGTTGGCAGTCCGTTAAACTATGGGTGGTCTGAACTGAAAATGCATTTAAATCGCTTGGAGGTTCAAAGCCTTGAGTAGTTGCCTTGGGAACAAATGACAAGGCCGAACGTCAAATTTCTGTAAATGAGTATTGGGGTCTTGGGGATAAATGTCAAGGACCAATACGCTGGGAATGTTGGGTTTTATGTCCTAAAACTCATAGTTTGAAAATGACAGATATACTTTTATCATTCAATAAAGTTGTTATTGAAGGTTTTAATCAATAAGTAGTTATTGATCCAATAAAATG